GTGGGTTGCTTTCAAGCTTCAAATATCTTATACAGTCAACTAAGCCAAAGAGTTATGATTAGAGTCAGTTGACAGTAGGTCACTGGGCATCAGGTCTCGAGGTCAGGAGACAGGAAACCTCAAAGCACTGGCCTGTTTTGGTTCAGTTTATACGGGAACAAATACTAGCATTACAGTCTTCAAGTTGAAGACCAGTGGCTGTTCACTTCGCCAAACAGATTCAAATGCTAACATTTTGGAGACATTTCTCTCAATCTCTCATGAATTGAGAGTAACCTGGTAAAAAGATGTGAGTGGGATGATAGGATTATTGGCTCCTAAACACTACTTCTGCCTGGGTTGTTTACTCCCTTCTCAGAATGATTACAGTGTCGTTAGCAGTCTACATACCCAAAGAATGACTACTTTTTACATATCAGTATTAAACCACATTTAATCTTTTTAAATTAAATTTACATTTAAGGACACGGTGCTAAGGACTTCATTAAAAGAGCAATCCATTTTGACAAACATTGCTCTGGAGTGCCTCAAGGTACTTGGTATCAGGCAAATATTTACGGTCTCTATTAAATGCAATTCCATCCAGCTTTCTTGGTAGATGAGAGTCAGTTTTGTCACTGTGACCAGACACCTGAGTAGACTAATGTAAAGAAGAAAGGATACGCATCTCTGCTTACACTGTCCAAACGTTCAGTCCACAGTTAGCTGGCTGCATTGCTTGTAGGCCTATGGCGTTATGTAGCTGTTTCCTCTAGGCTGGACATTATCATTGCTGTCCTACATCAGAGCAGTTGACAAGATTTTCCTATTAATGTCCCTCGAGGAGGGAGCTGGGAACTCACACAGCTCGTAAGGCCCCTCCTGGACAGCGTACTGAGTCCATTCCTTTCCTGTAAGAAGGTGATTTGGGGTGCGTTATGGTTTCAATGTGCATTGTCCCCTGGAGGCTCGTGTATTTAAACACTTGATCCTCAGCAGCTGCTGTCTTGGGAGACTGTAGAACCTTTAAGTGATGGAGCCTTACAGGAAGAAGTACATAATTGGGGCAGGCTTTGAGGTTGTCAGGCTCACTTCCTGTCTTCCCTACGTTCCCTGGCTTGCTAAGTGGTGAGCAAGTATTTGCCACAGAGTGTTTCTGCCATCACAGGACCACACGACATTGTCTTCCTCATCACGACAGACTATCTCCTTTCAACTTGTGGGCCAAGAATCCTCCCTTACTTGCCAGGTATTTGGTCACCATGGTGAGCAAACATAGGAGAGCTAAGCTGATGCTTCCTTTGTCATATAACACCACAGAGTTTCGCCTTGGGCTGCACACTATAGGGAGAGTCACACAGCTGGGCAAAATGAGTCTGTAAAGCTGAGAGATTATTTGTCCAACCATGGCCCTGATGGCCAGGTGCAGCCTGTGAGGTGAGACAGCTTCTGGAAACTAACTGGGTTGTGAAGGGTTAAATGGGGTGATTACTTCATCTGTGCTGCTTGCCCAATATTGCTCTTTTGAAAGCCCCAAATGGTGCACGTGATGGGAGCTTTTCATGCTGTGTTGGACCCTGTAAAGTTCTGTGAGTACCCCCTTAGCTGCCGAATTCCAAGACCAATTCACATTCCTTGGAACAGGAGGCCATGGATCTTCAGAGATACCGCTCAGCCTAAGTGAAAAGATTTCAATCTACAATGCTAGCCTCTAAGTGTCTTACAGATTTGGAAAGGCATTTGAAAGACCTGTAAAAACAGCAGCTAAAGGGTTTAAAAACAGCAGCATTCAGTCTGGATGCAAGGGGCACCCAAATGCTACAGGGTTATTGAATGGAAATCCCAGTGCCAGGTGAAGGTGCTTAACTACAGTTATTAGCAAGGGAGGCTTCTGAGAGCCACCCATGCCTGCACACAACACGGCTATTGCCTCTGCTGTTTGCATGCCCGAACTAGAGAGCAAGTCTCTAGTGCTGAAGATCTTGCCCACTCTGGCTGAAGGTTCTGGGTAAACTCAACTGGGACTGAAATGGAGACATCCTCACTAATGGGTGACTTTCCTAGCTACTAGGTTAGCTGCCGAGGGAAACAATGGTCCTGCTCAGCTGTGGACTGGTCCCATGTATTCATGCCACTAGCAGGCCCTACAAGATGTGACCCCTAGGAGCAATAGTGGCACAACTCTCTGGGCGTAACCAACTCACTTCCAGTTGGATTTAAGACCTACTCCACAGAGGGAATCCAGGCTTGATACTATAAACCAAAATAAAATCTTGTGGCTCAGAAAGGCCATAGGCTCAATGGAGAGGTTGCTGTTATTGTTTTGTTAAATGGATGTGTTGTGTCTATGGCCTAAACATCTAGGTTTATGGTCATACATTAGCTCTGCTGTTGGCCTTGGTCAGGGTAGCAGTTGCTATGAAAACTCCGAGCTGGTCACATTGTCTAGAATACATGACTTTTACTGTGGTAGAATGGTTCAAAGCTCAGCTCTCAATGGGATGATATAATTATACCACTCCTTTCTTACCACTCCTCTGGGGCTCAAGGCACATTGAGCATTAGAGGGAGGGGGAAAGAATGTCAGAGCAAGAAGCAAAGGTGTTCTGAAACTTTACACTGTGGGTTGCACGGGCTCGCTGCCATCTTGGATCAGAACAACTGTAAAAACCCACACGAGATGCTTAGCAGTTAGGCCTAGAAACATTCCCTCGTGGAGGCCAGAGGGAGGTTTCCTAGACCCATGGGGCTCACAAATCCCCAACCTCCCCAAGGTAGGAGAGTTGCTTATGGGAGGCAGAGTCTTAGCAGTGCAGTCACTCACAAGCTGTCCGTGGTGCAGACACCATGAGCAGGGCTTTGCAGGGGCCCAGCTGCAAGCTGTCAAAGGGACGTCCTGGTGGTGCAGCTGTCTTGGTTGCAAATACTAGCCCCTAACCAAATGGTTCACAAAACTAGATTTAGACAGAAGTGTTTTAGTCTGTTGGTACCTGCTCTATCTGGGGTGATTAAATGTTTCTTTACCTCTTTCTAGAAGTCCCATGACAGCTAGCCAGAAACACATGGTAGGAGGGCATGCCAGAGGAAAACTGCTCGCTTTAGAGCAACCAGGAAGGAGAGACAGAGAGAGAGAGAGAGAGAGAGAGAGAGAGAGAGAGAGTTGAGAAACTTCCAAGGGACAAGATAGACCTGTCCCTAGAGAGCCACTAACTTGAACCAGGCCCCACCCATTAAAAGTTCATTCAGCTAGTAATTTAATTAGTGTATTAACTTAGGAGTCATTCATCTCCTAAATAAATACATGCATGGCTGTTTGCCTGCATGTGTATCTATGCACCATATGTACACCTGGTGTCCACAAAGTTCAGAAGAGAATGTCATATGTCCCATTGGAGACACATCCAGGTGTGAGACACCATGTGAATGCTAGGAATTGATTCTGGACCATCTGGAAGAGCAGTGGTCTTACCTGCTGAGCCGTCTTTCCAGTTTTCCAGTCATCACTTAAAGACCCATTAATTGCAAGCAGCCCTCTAATACACAAACCCTTGTGTATTCTACCCGTATCAGAGCGCAGGAATAACCACTCTTTGTATTGAAAATACAGTACAAAACACGAGATTGTGCAGATAATCCATGCTCGCTGTAAGAACATGTTAGGGTGCAGGATGAGGCATAGCCCCAAACAGAGGCTACTGTCAGCACGCTAGGGTAGCCAGTGCTGTTGAGATAGCACCTTTTTTCTGCCAGCTTGACAGTGTTGCAGTTACATCCCAGGAGGTGAAGAATTTCCACCTCGGTCGATTTCTGAGTCATCTCTGGGAAGAATTTACAAATCTGCATGATGCTCGCCCTTTTGGAATATTTTCGCAAACACGAAACACAGTGATGATTCTGCCCCTGAAGACAGCACATAGTTCTTACGTGTGTTGCATCGCTCAGGCCCTACTCACGCTACTTTCACAGTCACGCACACACACACACACACACACACTCACACACAACACACACACACACACTCACACACATACACACACACACTCACACACACAACACACACACGCACTCACACACGCACGCACACACACACGCACACACACACACACGCGCACACACACGCACACACACTCACACATACTCACACACACTCACACACACACACACACACATACACACACACACACACACACACACACACACACACACACACTTTTTCTAAAAGAGCATTTCATGTAGCCCAAATTGGCCCTGAACTTGCTGTGTAGCCAAGGAGGACTGATATTCTGATCCTCCTGCCTCCACGTTCCAAGTCCTGGGATGATGGAGGAAGGTCATTGGCTAATAAAGGAACTGCCTTGGCCCATTTTATTGGTTAGAAGATAGGTGGGAGGAGTAAACAGAACAGAACGTTGGGAGGAAGAGGAAGTGAGGTCAGACTCGACAGCTCTCCTCTCGGGAGCAGATGCGTCAGAGAGAGATGCCATGCTCCCAGGCAGACGCACGCTATGAAGCTCCGACCCAGGATGGACATAGGCTAGAATCTCCCCGGTAAGCGCACCTTGGGGTGCTACACACAGATGATTAGAAATGGGCTAAATTAATATGTGAGAATTAGCCTAGAAGAGAGAATGGGCCAAGCAGTGTTTAAAAGAATACAGTGTCCGTGTAATTATTTCGGGGCATAAGCTAGCCGAGCAGGCAGCTGGGGTGCTGGGGACGCAGCCCTGCCGCCCCTATTTACAACACTGGGATTACAGGCATTCACTCTCACACCTGGTTTTATGCAGTGCAGGGGATCAACCTCAGGGACTCATGCAAGCGAGGCAGGTGTTCTAGAAGCTGAGCTACATCCCAGGCCTGTTCTGAGTCCTGGAACACTTTGCTATTTCCTCTTTCCTCCCTCTGCACCTAGAAGTGACATATTTGGGCGAGGAAGAAGAGGAAGAAATAAATACAGAATGGTGTGCATGGGACAGCAAAGGACAGGAGGGGCAGGAACAGGAAACCGGAACTATCTCACAGACCGACAGGCCATCAAAGGAGATGCTCCTTAGTTCACTCCAAAGTCCAAGTCCTCAGTTAACTTAGGTGCAAAATTTCTTCCTACAGCAAAGTACAACTTTGCTTTAAACTATTTATTTAAAATCCTGCGTGTCATTCGTATGGGTGTTAAGAACAAACTGCCACATGATTTCTGGACATACCCTACTTGAAAGAGTTTTGTTCCTGAGCTCTGGTCCCGAAGACAGCAAATTCTAAGTAATAAATGATATACTGCATTTATTCGAACTGAACAAACAATTGGTCTTAAGTGGTGAGTTGATTGATGGCAGAGAAAACACATCGGGATTCACACAGGAGCTGCAGGGTAGACTTTGATAAGCAAGTGTGCTAGACAGTAGTTGACTCCAAAAATTAAACCGTCTGGGTTAAGGGAAGTTCATTAAACACAAGATGTTAAAGGGATGTGAAACACCAGGATGTTCTAAGAGGAGCTGAACATTCCATCCTGCCCGAAGTTCATTAAACCCAGGAAAGAAAACAACTCAGTGGCTTCAGGAAGTCTCTGAAACTGAGCAGATTCAGGAAGTCTCTGAAACTGAGCAGATTTATTAGGCCCCTCCTCCTCAGGAATATATAACATGTAAGGGCTGCTGAGAAACACTCTGATGAGATACGCTGCCTGGAAGAAGCATGAGCTGCATGGGAAGGGACCCTCTCCACAGGTCCTGTGGAGCCGCCTGCAGGCTGTGCAGTGTGCTCCAGGGTCCCAGCTTCAGGGAGCTGTCACTTAGGCTGGGATGGGCTTTGTTCCTGTAAGCTTCCCCTCACCCATACTGCTGCAAGTAACCTAATAAACCTGATTAGTTCACCAAGGATCTTGGTGCTAACCTTATTTCTGTCAACCACAGATTCCCCACACAGAGCTAGATGTGGTGGCACGTGCCTTTAATCCCAGCCTTTGGGAGGCAGAGGTGTGTGGATATTTGTGTTTGAGGTTAGCCTGGTCTAAGGAGCAAGTTACAAGACAGCCAGGACTAAACAGAGAGATTCTGTCTCAAAAACAAAACAAAACAACCCAAAACAAAAAACACTTCTCCCTGGGACAAAACAAAAAAACAAAAACCCCAAACAAAAAAACACTTCTCCCTGGGTACCACTGTCATACAATAGATTAAAAGAGTTAGGGTGTAGCTCAGTGATAAGAGGGTGTGACAAGCATTTGTGAGGCCTCAGGCTCAACCCTATCACTGGAAGACAAGTACATAAGTAAGTTTTAAGAATCCATTAGATTAGAATGCTGTCAGTTAAACAGCCTCAGTTGGCAGACTGCAGGGATGTCTTACTCAGTAGAGTATATGACATCTGCGTTGACCGAGTAAGCTGGGGATGAAGGCTGAGTGTGCAGGAGGCATGAAGGCACCGGGTTCAACCCACAGTGCTAGACTGTATGCACCTGCAATTCCGGCACTTAGGAGACTGAGACATAGTGCAGGGTCATTCTCTGGTGCAGGACTTCAAGGCAACCTGGGATACCTGAGACCCTGACTCAACAAAGTAAACAAACCCCAACCATAAAAAACCAAGTACCTCAGCTAGTAAGCAGTATGCCCAAGTTTCTTTCTCAGTGTTGGGAGCAGAATGCAGTGTCTCATATACTCCAGGCAAGCATTCAACTACCCAACTCCATCCCAGCCCAGAATATGTTCCACCGCAGGGATGTGAAGGGTTTCCTGTTGCCAGGGCACTGGTATTCTTTCTCATGCTTCCGTCTCCTTGCATCCCATGCTTCTACTTCCCTTTAATCCAGCTGGATATTTCCCTTAACAGAAAGAAGCATCTGAATAGGTGTGATGCCATTCCTTGTACCTTTAGGCTTGGCTCTACTAGTTGAAACAAACCCAGGCATCAGGGAACACTGAGTCACGGCAGAGTGAGGCTGCTGCTTTCAGTTCTCCCGGTTCAGGGCATGTCTGTACGCATAAGTATAAAAATAGTTTACTTCCCGAGTTTTATTCAGTACAAACGTCAAAAAGAGGATTCAATCAAAGAGGTTCCCAAACTTATTATCAGGCTAGTTTTCAGGGCAGGCAAAGTACTGGCCAGGTAACTGGAGATACTGGTGATAAAATTCAGAATGTTAACTAATTCCAACAAACTCCTTTCTCCCTGCACCCACTGGGGTGGTATCACACATTCCTATGATTTTTAGAGGTTTCTGTTGTTACTGACATGTAACATTTATTAAAAACCTAGGATATCCCATGACACTCAGTCCAGTTCACTGTTCCCAGCCACAGATGATCATTTTAATTCCTGTACAAAAGAGAGAGGGGTAGGGGGTAGGGGGGGAGGCTCAAGCATGCATGCATGCAAAACTGTTTATACTCCTGGTTAGTGTCACCGTAAATCAGCTCAGAGATGCCCATTTACTGCAGTCAGCTGCCTCTGCAAAGCTCGGCAGGAATGTCTTCTCCGGGAACACTGCTCTCCCAGTTAATGCTCCGCAGCACTGCAGTAGAACAGGGAATGGCAAACATTCCCGCAGCAAGTGTACTTCCCTTTGTCTCAGTGTCTCTAGGAACGGAATCTGTTGCCTGGCTCGCATTCTCCACCACAAAGGCTGCCTTAAAACAAAAATGGAAGGAACGCTTTCCTATGCTTCGGGTAGGAGACAAAAGTGCTCTTGTAGAAGTTGTGGTTGAAGAACGCAGACAGGGCCTGGCTGAAGAAGACGTACGTCACCACCAGCCACCAGGTTAAGTTGTGGAACCCAAAGGTGACCGCCATGGAGATGTAGATCATCAGCTCTGCAAGGTAGTTGGCTGAAGACACATAATCGAACCAGTCTCCGAAGGGGATCCTGTGCTGGCAGTGAACGATCACACCTGAAACAGAAAGGTGGCGGCGGTTAACCACTCCGCCTCCTAAACCATTGACAGGACCTCCAGCAAGTATCACCCCCACCCCCACCCCCCCGTAGGAAAACAACCATCCCCTCACATTTCCACCAGTCACCAACCACAGAGTCAGGCGTGGTACAGCATGGCTTTAATCCCAGCACTTGCGAGGCACTGGCAGGTAGATCTCTGTGAGTTCGAGGCCAGCCAGTGCTGCACAGTGAGACTATGTCTCAGGAAAAGAGAAGGCCTGCTGGGCATGGTGGAGCACACCTTTAATCCTAGCACTCGGGAAGTAGAGGCTGGTGGACCTCTGCGAGTTTGAGGCCAGCCTGGCCTACAAAGGGAGTTCCAGGACAGCGAGGGATATACTAGTGGCCCCATCTTAAAACAACAAAAACAACAATAAACACAAAACAAAACAACAGAAAAAAAACAAAACAAAAAAATCTGAAAGTCTCTGTTCAGGTTTCCCATCAGTTCTCACAGCACACAAGGGCTCAGATGCCAGAGTCAGGGTGCATGAGTTCAAATCCTGCCTCTCCCACTTGTTATCTGTGTAACTTCACATAAACTGCTCAGTCTCACTGTGCCTCAGTTTCCTCGTCTATAAAACAAGAATCCTACAAATTGCACACATGAGGAGTCGGTCCAGCCTATCTCGGAAGTTCAGTTTCTTTCCTTTTGCTGGATCACGCTACCCCATACTAATGTGAGCTTTCCACACGCTGATCGAGATCTGCCACTCCATTTAACCAATGGGAGGATCACAACTCAGGAAGGTGTCTTGTCAAAAACTGAGAATTTGATATCAACAGGGACATGAAAGGAAGGAATGAAGGGCAGAGAAAGCCACCCCCCCGGGGGGGGGGGGCTAGAGCCCATCTGGGAGGCGCCGGGAGAGATCTCACCTTTTTTGTTCCTCCTGAGGTTGCTGAGAATGGCGTGGCACTTGTACTGATGGGCGGATGACCAGAAGAACATCAGCATCCCAAGGATGTGGAACCACCGGGCTTGTGTTAGCAGATTCTTCCCCAGGACATAGACTATGGAAACAGGAACCACCCTATCAGCCAATGCTAACTCCAGAATCCCAGAGCTCCGAGAATTACGTCATCATGTTATCTTGTATTATAGTATCATAATATTGCCTCTGGACAGTGAGAGCTGCTTCTCAGTCTCCACAGCTCCGGTGATTACAGGCAGAGACTGAGCAACATCTTCTCTTGAACATTCTTCAAATGCTTCTGGCAAGAACAGCCCATCCCTGAGTGACTTACTGTGTGGTGAGATGCTTTATGCTTCTATGATTGAGTCTTATTTTAAGCTTTCTTGCTCACATTCTCCCATCAAGAAAAAAATTCTCTAAAGAAACATCTCCCTGAGCTTTCACCCAGAACCCTGTGAGAGAGAACCTGAGTACAGAAAGCTGAGCTAACCCAGGCATAGTGGTTACATACCTGCCATCCTAGGACTTGGAAAACTGAGGCAAGAGGATCAGGAGTTCAAGGCCAGCTAAGGCTGACGTGGAAAACACAATAACCACCCCTGCAAATACGAGAGAAAGACAGAGAGACAGAGAGAGGGGGGGACGAGAACATGTATGCACTGCATTGCCTAGTTCTGTCTAGTAGAAAGACCTAAGGTAAAGGGTGAGTGGTCTCTCATAAAGAGAAGAAACATAAACGCTAAGAAAACTTAAACACTTAAAAATGATGTCCTTTCTGGATTAGAGCGAGCCTAGTCTGAGAGACTGTTCCCAAAGCAGAAGAGCTGGTAGCACAACCTTCATTTTGGTGTAGCAGCAAGAAGGAAAGGCAGGCCGCTGAAGGATTCCTAGAGCCACCAGAATGGGACAGTCTTGTCTTAGCTCAAGAAGCAGAACTTGTCCACTGAAAACTGGCAAAAGCCCGGGACTCTGGAGCTAAGGCAAAGCCCTAAGAAGCTGACTCGGGCAAGAGCACCAAGGATCACGCTACTCTACACAGAAACCCACAGTGGGAGTGAGTTGAGGATAACTAATGGCTAACCAGAATCCGCCAAATTCACCTGTGGTGATTTCAGTTCTAACCCGGTTCTTCTGGACTGCAGACACGCCTTTCACTTGCATAAGGGCCCTGATCACTGGCAGTATCTGAGCTTGAAGAAACTTCGTTAAGCGGACATTGGCCCAGCACACATGCAAACCTACAGTATTTCTATCAGGTCCTACAAACACCAAATGCAGTGTTTCCCACTATGGAGGTGGATTTCGATTTGTGTTTTTGAGATAGGGTTTGGCTGTGTAGACCTGGGTAGCTTGGAATTCAGTATATGGACAAAGCTGGCTTTGAACTTGAAATGATCCTCTTGTCTTCGTGCCATAAATGCTGGGATTAGAGGCGTGAGTTACCGCGCCTGGATAAAATACATAAACCCACTGCTGGGCAAGTGTTCTTAACAAAGAGGAGGAGTAACTAATCCAGTCATGATGCCCCAGGGGCTCCAGGGGACCCTGTGAGGGGTGATTGGGTGAAACAGAAGCAGTGACACAAAGGAATGCTTGGAAGGCTATTTTTGTGGGTGTCTTAGCTGTCTTTTTGTAAACATTTTTATAGAGTAAAAAGTAGAAGCAGACAGAGAGAAAGCTGGTGGGCAACCAAGGAGTTCTGGAAAGTTCCCCTGGGTGCAAAGCCGCAGTAACTGGCTGAGCATCTGAATGCCGTAGTGGAAGATGCTGGAGGAAAACCTGACTTGATTAATGGTTAACATGGTGGTTTGCGTGAGAAATACCCTGCACAGGCTCAGGGACTTGTCTCTAGTTGGTGGCACTGTCTGTGGAGCTTTGGGGGTACAGCCTGGCTGGAGGGAGCGCACCCCGAGACGTGAGACTCGAGACTAGATACCCTCTTCCTGCTCCCAGTTCACCCTTCTGCTTCGTGTCACAGTTGAGGTGTGATCTCTCAGCTTCCCGCTCTGCAGGCTTGCTGCCGTGCCTCCCCAGTGAGAAGGATGCAGCCCTCTGGAACTGTGATCTTTCTCCTGGGAGTTGTCCGACCACAGTATGTTACCAGGACAACAAGAAAGTAATTAATACAATGCAGTCCAGAGGACTTAGAAGAGATGTTGCCTGAATGACTGGAACTGGTAAACAAATCACAAATTGAGAAGCTATATGGTTGATGAGCCTGCCTTTCAAAGAATTCTTCTAGCCTCAGGAAGTGTATTCCAGCAAGAGAGCAGGCTTTGGAGCACTCTGAGACTGGAATCAAACAGGGAAAGGCTCAATCACTGATAGTTGGAAATACAGATCTCTGCCTCAACTTATGATACAGGACACGAAGAGAACGGTCGCAGGAGATCTGGGCTGAAAGCCCACGGCTTCAATGTCAAGTTAACCTCAGCACTGAAACAGTCATTCTAACCGCCCCAAAGGATCAGAGTTCTATACTGTCCACACAGATTGCTTTTATGAAACTATGCTATGCAGCTTCCAAATAAGACAGCAAGCTACCTCACTTCCTTCTTCACACAGAGCTCTTCCTGCTAGAGAACACTCGGACACCTTGAGGCCATTTCCAGTGACTGCCAGACTGGGCTGTCCTCTTCCCTCAGGCTGTCCCAGCTGAAAAGGCTTTGTTATGCGGGCAGTCCTCCCAAGAACTCGAGGCAAGAGAAAGGTTTGTTTTCCTTCTTCAGATGAGAATTACTGGCCTAAAGTGCCTCCCTCATCTCACAGTTCTGTGATTTAATCCCGCATAACTTCTTTCTCCCACATACACCCCCAGATAGCTGGGCTCTGGCGAGGTCACTTCCTTCCATGCCCCCTTCTCCTCCTCTTTTGGACATCTCATGCCTCCTGTTCAGAGCTTAGCTATGCTTTCTACAGGTCTCAAGAATACTCTGTACCTTACTATTGTCACTCAAGGCTTGGCTGCTTATGCTGGTGTTTTTCAGGTTTCAGCTGTCATGGCTGACATGTCTACCCTCTGACGTGACGACACTTGAACGTACTGCAAGGGCCACTCACCATTCTTGTCATCCATGGGCATTTGGCTCAGCACTGTTAGGCCGACTAGGACATAGTAGACAAGCCCGAAACAGTACTGCACGACGTGAATCACCGCATTGGAGAAGACGCTGACGTAGAAACACTCGAAGAGTCTCCGCAGGCTGTGGACCCAGAGGAACACCAGCACCAGGAAGGCAGACAGAGCCAGCTCACCCACTGCAGTGCAGAAGGCAACGCGGTCAGGGGCTCCTCCAGCATTAAGCCAAGCGTTCTGCCTACCCACTTGAAACAGAGCCTCACATAGGCTCAGAGTCAGAGGGCTAGAGAGGCCATTCAAACTAATGTCTTACTCTTTCAAGCTGTGAGGACACAAGCTGAATAACGGCCATGTGGTCAGCTAGTGCCTGGACGGTGGGAAGAGGGGACAGGACGCATCTCTGATTCTACTTTATCATTTAAGAGCCTTCCAGGCTACATGGATACATGAGGAAGGGTCTGTGTGCTCAGGACTCGGGATCCGTGGGTCTCTAGTTCCTGTACCAACTGCTAGATGAAAATGGTCAGGGAGAGGTTCCTGGTGATGTTGGTACTGTCCTATCTGGTGGGATCCCGGGGCCACACCCACCCACAAAGGCAGAGACAGAGACGGGGATCCAACAGGTGGGTGTTTCTTTTTAGACATAAAAAGCAGAGGACGGGAGCTGGGCTGGGCGGTGAAGCACTTGCCTAGCATCTGGGAGGCTCTGGACTCCAGCTCCAGTGCTGCCGAAAGAGAAAGGAAAGGAGAAATTACGCTTTCCGAGAGACCGTGGGTCCCAGGATCCACCTTCCTGCAGGCCCGTCACTGCGTGCACCAAGGAGTGTGAAGAAAGCTCGTTTTTAAACATCATGAAATCTAGTCTGCTGTAACATGGACACAATCACAGGAACACAGCTTGGTGAAATTTTACTAATTCCCACTTATTACTAGCACGCAGGCTGAGAACCAAGGCTTGACCAGCACCCCCTAGTGTTCCTTTCTAAGCATGACCCTGTGTCGGGCTGTCCCAAGGTTGAGGACTCTGTTATTCGTTCTACAAGCACAGATCTGTTTTGCTCTTTTTGAATTGTGAGTAAATTAAAACCCAGTTTTTAAGCTCTTTATGAACAGGATAAAACAAATAAAACTCCTCAAATCTAACCTTCTGTTTACATGACCATGGTAAGCAACAAAGCGATGCCCAGGTATCAGAACCCCCTCCCCGCCCCCTCCCCCACCGAGCCTGGAGATGCTGCTATGGCCGGTTAAATGCTATTTTGTAATGATCCGGCCAACAGCTGTTCACAGTTTCATTGTTTTAACTGAAGACCCGCAATATAACAAGCCATTTTTGTTTAATTTTAATTAACTACTTACTGGTGCGTATGCGTACATGCGTGTGAGAACATGCGTGTGTGTGCTGTGAAGATGTCAGAGGACAACCCGTAGGAGTCTGTTTCCTCCTTCTCAAATGTGGTTCTTGCAGATGGACACTGGACCATCAGGCCTGGCGGCAAACACCTTTATCCACTGATCCATCTTACCAGACCTTTTTCAATGTTTACCAAAAGGTAATTTTTAAAAATCAAATTTCTGTGAGCCCCAAGGCATGATTCTGGCTGCAGCCGTATAAATATGCTAAATGTTTCAATGCAAACTCAGGGATTTCCAAAGCTTCCCCAGCACGTGTGAGGCCCTCTTTGTAAGCTTATCAGCATACTGACAATATCAGAGGGAGAGCAGCCCGCGCTGCATTCAACATAGGCTTGCGAGGCTGTGGACCAGTCATGCAAACCCTGTCTGCCCTCCACTTTCCAGGCCCTGCAGAGGGGCCTGACTGGTGAACTGCAGCCAGGAACCAGGAACAGGCTGGAGAGCCAAATTACCTTGGAACGGCGTGGCTCCAAGAGTTCTGAGCAAAGCACGTAGCCAGTTTGGAAAAGGTGCTCCCAGGAAGAGAGATTGAGAAAGGGACCAGAGCAGGAAGCCATTCCACAACACCGAGATGATGTAGAAGTGGGAAAAATACCTGCAACAGGAGGAAGAGTTAGGTAACCGCCAGCCAGGACCTCGCAAGTCCGAGGATCCCGAGCTCCTCTGCCACCCCGCCCCCAAACACACATCCGTTTCCCAAAATAGAGTTTTGGTTTTAAACAGAACCTGAATCCTGCAGGTGGGAATGTTTCAAAATGTACTTTCAAATCATGAGACTTGTTAAACTGGACTGGAGAAGGATCCGTTAACGGTCTCATCTCTGGGTAACAAGAGTGGCCCCCAAGTTCTCAGAAGGAGCCGCAGCTCCCTTCAAGGAAGATCTAGTCTGCTGTAACATGGACACAATCACAGGAACACATGCCAATACCAGTGAGATCCGTGGAAGTCTTTTAGAACCCAAACAGGATTGCAGTAAGGGACAGCCATACAGCTGCCGCGCAAGTGTCCTGCAACCAGACGCAGAGCTGGAAGAAGACTTCCAACGTGGATGTTGGGAACTGAACTAGACCCAAGGTCTACACAACTCAACAAACTTCTATATTGTTAGAGTGGGCTCAGAGCAGAAGCTGTGGAGTACACATTAGGCTTTACCCTTTTAATATCTAATATAGTTTGTGCACTTATCTGCCACCAAAACCGAAAAAAAATTGTGGGGGAATTTGAACTAGAAAAACATATCTGCTTTTTTAACTTGTGTCCAGCACGTACATCCAGTCCTTCCTCACCCTGTGTATTTAGCCTTTTTCTTCTCTTTTCATGTTATAATGTACCCACATGTATATGTGTTTGCACATATACATCTCATTGGCTAATGAGATGACATGGAGTTTTTTTTTTCTTTCTTTCTCCTTCCCTCCCCTCTCTCTTTCGTTATGTGACCTCATTTAATATTATACATTCCAAGTCTAAACCTTCTACATGAATTTAAAAATTTTGCAGGAAAATGGATGGACCTAAAATGTATACTATTAAGTGGGGTCACCTTGCACACTTTCCAAGCAAAGGAAAAGGTTGCAAAGGCAGTGAGAAGGGTGTGTGTTGGGTGTGCTACATCTGTGGCTCCCTTGTGGCTGTGTGGCAGGACCTGGAGAAGAGGGCAGGGGACACAGGGCCTGGAAGGATGCAGGCTTTTTGTTGTTGTTGTTGTTGTTGTTAATGGGGATCCTTTTAGGCACACCACACACTTTAGAAAGAAAATCATTATTCAATCCTTTCAAAAGTTCCAAAACATCTTTCTGAGGGGCTGAAGAGATGGCTTAGCAGTTAAAAGAACTTGCTGCTCTTCTGAAGGACCAAGGTTCCATTCCCAGCACCCCATGGCAATTCACAACCATCACAACCATCCAGTAAAAGAGGGATACAGCTCCCTCTTCTGCCTCCAGGGGCACCAGGTATGAGCATCATGCCCAGGTATATATGCAGGCAAAACACCCCTAAACAAATAATAATAAAAATGACTAAAACACCCATCTATTGAGAACAGAGACTATCTAGTCTTGAGATAAAGGATGTAACCCACCTGTTGGGGACAGAGACTATCTAGTCCTGAGATAAGGATGTAGCCCATCTGTTGGGGACACAGAGACTATCTAGTCCTGAGATAAAGGATGTAGCCCATCTGTTGGGGACACAGAGACTATCTAGTCTTGAGATAAGGATGTAGCCCATCTGTTGGGGGACAGAGACTATCTAGTCTTGAGATAAGAATGTAGCCCATCTGTTAGGGACAGAGACTATCTAGTTTTGAGATAAAGGATGTAACCATCTGTTGGGCAAACAGAGACTATCTAGTCCTGAGATAAAGGATGCAGACTGGGACCTGGACCTGACAATGGGCATGCCATTTCATCTTTACAACAGTTCCACAGTTCGCTCTCTTTGCAAGGCAGGGCTCTGAGAGGCTGAGTTCCTTATCCAAGGTCACAGTGGTGGCAGCAGCTGGCTCTAGATGCAGCTAGGACGACTGGTATTTACATCACATTGTTGCCCTCTGGTCTTCGGACACTCTTGCGCGAACCAGTTTTCCTAGCCCGGTATCACACACAGCCAGTTTACCGGACACCTAAAGGCAAGTGAATCAGTTTCAAATAAATTCCTGGGCTATGCCTTACAGCTCTTCTTGTTCCGTGGCACCTCTGGTTTAAATACACAATGTATTGTTTTCAGTCTCATATTTATCCTGCTGTCTGAATGTCTTTCTATAGGAAACACTTTCAGGTCTTTACAGGAGGTCCTATCGCTTGCTTGTAGTTAAAGAGACAGCGAAGACTCCAAGTGCAGATCTCCAATCCCCATTGCCTTCTGGGGGAAGACACTCTGCTCCCTCCTCCTTCCGTAACTTGCTTCCTAGAAGAGCTGTTTTCCAGGTCCCGGGAGCAGGGACACAGCAATCTTCTGACTGCACGAGGTTGGGTGTGGGGACTCCTCTGACGAACCACCACTCGGATGATTATTATGGGCTGTGGCTGACGGCACGGAGGAGATAGGTCTGTTGGGGAGTGTGGCGTTACCATTCTAACTAAGGCAGGTATGGAAGGCCCCACTGAAGATAAAATCACGAAGCTTTAACCCACGGGCCGGCTGAGAGGGAGTATTTTCAGGTGATGTAAAGGCTCTGGGGTAGGATGTTCCAGTATAGAGCTGGAACAGGGCCAGCGGGAGCAGGTCACAGGACGAAAAGTCAGAAGGGAGACAGGACTGCATAGGGCTGGAGTCTGGGACACACAGTCTTATTTACATACATGTGCACTGAGTGCTGGAACTGGCCCTGGAGTTAAGCCAGGTAAGCCTGGGGGTAATAGGGAAGGATACTACCCAGGTGACTGGGCCTGCGCTCAGTACTTTGATGCCACCCCCACCTTTGACACCTGAGGATACCATGATGCTTCAGCTGTAATCCACACAGGGCCACCATCTTCCTCCTGGACTAACACAGCAGCCTCTTGTCCAGTCTCACTCACACAATGGCGCCATCCTTTATGTCCTGTGATGCAATGTTTTCCCTTCCACCACAGAGCTGCTTCCATACCCCGGAACAAAGTCCCAGTCCATGCTGGCCCACAAGGCTCTGCCGAGAGGCTCTCTCCCCACTCCACCCCTCCGCCCCTAGGTAGTGCTGCCTCGAAACTCTTATTCCTGCTCCAATAGCCTTGCTGGGTCTCCTCTGGACCACTTGACAGCTCAGAAAAGATTCTGCCTCTTTGAAATTGGCTGATATATTTTTTTGTTTGCCTATCAGCTCCACGGAGCCTAAACTAGTGCAGAGATTAAGAGCAGGCCCTCTGGGAAAACTGGCACTGCAAAGGCATCAAGGACAAATAGCTCATTCACAGAAGAAACTAGTCTAACCACCAAAGCAACTGAGCGTCCAACCCCTTAGCCTCTGTTCCAAACATTCTGGTAGGAGGGCCTTTTTGCCTCTAGGCACGAGCTGAGACTGCTATAGCTGGGGACACAGGTGAACGCTGCTTGACAAAGGCTCTAGGCCCCTCTCAAAACGTCACCATAAGCATAATGCACATGAAGGATACTAAGAAAAGAACTGAATGGACATCTAGGTAATCCAGTCATTAAACGTCAAGTTGTCGCCATAAGGAACCCAGGCGTTTGTTGCGCATTGAACAAGGAGCTCTAGAGGTGAATAACTACTATGTTTTTGTGGCTATAGAAACAATACTGTTTCAAGGGGTCTTCACTATTTTTTTAAATGTATTATATTCTATCAAAAACTTGGAGACACTGCTATTGTCTGTGGTTTGTTGATGATGTTCATGATTAAGGAAGTGCTAACTTTTCAGCAGGAGGTTGATGAAGATAAAGATGTAACCCGAATCCAATCCACAGATCCCGACTGCTGGTTGAACACTGGGCAGCACCTGACAGGCAGAGCCCCATGCAGTGATAACAGTTTCCACGTTATTTGGCGCTATTTTGAAATTTTAGAAACAGAAGTGTTTCCATCTACTGTGGAAGCCAAGAACAATGGGACTCTTGGGTTGTGATCAATTATTTGTACAGACTTTTGGGAATTCAATCAAAACAAGAGAAGCAGTTATTGCCTTGATTAAAAAACAAGACAAAACAAACAAGCAACCCCCACCGCCAACTCAAACAAACAAACAGCTAGTACCAGACTGGAGAACAGAAAACAACATTCCAGGAACTTGGGTTTTATTCTTGCTTCCTAGGAAAAATAACTACAAACTAAATGACCTAAGTACTACCACATGTGCTGAAGAAACGTGGTTCATTGCTACCTATTTGTAAGCGTAAAAGTCACAGGCTTGGGCTGGAGAGATGGCTCAGTGGTTAAGAGCATTGCCTGCTCTTCCAAAGGTCCTGAGTTTGATTCCCAGCAACCACATAGTGGCTCACAAACATCTGTAATGAGATCTAGTGCCCTGCCCTCTTCTGGCCTGCAGATATACACACAGATAGAATATTGTATACATAATAAATAAATATAAAAAAAGTCACAGGCTTATTTTTCAATTTTCATTTCTGAGGATGATATTACATTTTGCACAAGGAAAACCTATTCAAAATACTTAAGTAATAAGCACACTGGCTAAGGTGACCAAATATTATAAAATCTAGATTAACCAAGGCATTACGAAGTGCCACCCTCTGGGAGTAAATCCACAGCCATTTGATCTCTCAGACATGACTCACGCTTGCATGGGGCAAGAGCCTGCCAGGGAGGCATGCCGGGAGTTAAGAGTTTGGGATTGTAGGCCGACAGGTGGGATTCAAGGTCTGGTTGTCAGGCTCACTGGTGTGACAAGCCTGAATTTGTACGTAAGTGGGTGGGAATGGTGACAATGACATGTCCCTCACAGGCCTGTCATGAGGACGAAGAAAGGTATTTAGCACTGAGAGTCTTGAGTACATGACACACGGGCAACTCAGCTGTGGCTTCTAATTCACTATACTTTATTTTTTGCTCATGAAAAGTGCTAATCACAATGCCACTGAAGATACTTGGAAACCAGAGAGAAGTATAAAGTTGGCAGCAGAATGCTACTTTACTCAACTCTAGCTACTACCTTTTCATATAAACGGGAGGCAGCAACAAGGAAATGACCGGCAAGAAGAAAGGTGAGAGGGCTTTGTTGCCCTGTGTTCTGAAGACCTTGTCACTTTTGGTGCAAATGCTCCCCTGGTTTTTCTTTGCCTCACTTAAAAATGCCTTTCCTTACTGGCCTGGATTTGTGGGACCTTCCCCAGGACTGAAAAATAAAGTACAATTTAGAGGAAAACACCAACGTCCACCACCACCTCAGAGCACTTGGACACCGCAGAAGGTTCCGCTCTAGAATTCTGGAAAAGGAAAGAATAATTATTTCACAACAGTGCTGGAATGACAAGAAGCCCGGAGTGCCAAGTGTTACAGGGATGAGCACAGGTAAAGCTCACCTCTTCTTGGCTGTTATACAATGACAGGCTGGAGTACAGAGCTGATGAGCCCCATCCACAGCCAGAAAGGGCAGAAGTGATTTCTAAATGTGCTTTTAAATACAGGGACACTAGGACCTTTCTCAAAAGCCAAAAGCTAAATTACTATATAGCAGAAAGGGATACAGGCCAATCAAACCTGATTACAACAGGATGGCAGAGTTGGCACACATGTCTAAAACTGAACCTCTAAGGAACGGTTCTTTGGGGCCTTATCTCTTTACTGTGGCAGCCACTTGGCGCGGCTCCATTTTGCCACTACACCATACATTCTTCACAATGTTGTGGATCTCCGGTCTCAGACTGAACCCCTGATAGATCGCTCTCCAACAGACAAGAGAGAGCTGTGGCCAGCCCACTTTTCTGTGTTCCTTGGCGGATCCACCACCATCTGCAGAGGTGGGCACTGTTTACAGACTTTGAAAATAACCTAGACGAACCCATCACATTCCTTCAAACTCAGTTCTAAATACAGAAGTATGATACATTTCAAAGAAAAGACACAGCGTTACCATCTAGAATGGTGCTAAACTGACTTCTCCATCTATATACGGAATTCAACGTGGGGCAAAAACGAGAAAACCATGGAGCAAGTCTCACATATTCGGAGTAGATTCTATTTGTGTCCGGATGATTTTAGTATTTCACAACTTTGTGAAACCTTCCAGGATGGGGCTAGCGCACCTGCTGAGATGCAGGCGCGGCATGTCAGCCATGCTCCAGGATGGTACCCTCTAGACCTCCTTTGTGACTGTGACAGATTGGGGAGACAACTGGGGAAATCAAGGAAGACCCAGTCTCCATGTCGACAGAATCCCACGACCTCAAGTTAAGAGTGTTGGGAAGGGGAAGTGGAGAATTTGGGAAAAAGACGCTTGGGCGGACCCTTAGGGTCTGGGCCAACCTGGGGGGGGGGGGAGGGGGGGATGCTCAGTCATTTCCGGGGACGGCTCTGGGCAGCCACAGGCTCGCGTGCCCGCGCAGCCTCGGCTGCCCCCTGCCGGGCGCGCCCCGCCACCGCGGTTACCTCTTGGGGACATCGAAGGCCCTGCAAACGGCGGGGCGGCGCGGGCCGGACAGCTTGGTCTTCCCGTAGCGGATGAGGTCCTGGAAGAGCGCACAGCTCGGCAGCAGCCCGGCGGGCGCCAGCTGCAGGAGTAGTGCGAGCAGGAAGGCGGCGGCCAGCGCCAGCCACACCGTGCGCAGCGGGTTCAGCGCCGAGAGCTCGACCCCGGCCCAGCCAGCCATGGCCCGGGAGCGGCTACGCACGCGCGCCACCCGCCCTCCCGCCTCGGCGGCGCGCTTGGCTGTGACGCGACACCTGGGCGGGGACGCGCGGCCCCGCCCTGGCTCTCCATTCCAGAGCGGCGCTGCTCCTGCCCACTGGCTTCATGGGGACAGCGTTTTGGACTCTCATCGCCTCTAATCCTGCACAGGCATTCCTAGATGTAACTCCATCTTGAAATTCTGCAGAAACATGCAAGAACACCTGCTACAAGTCTTTCAAAAAATAAATTGTACTTATTTACTTATTCAATGGAGTGTAAACATACCAAGATGTGTGGTTGGAAGCCTAAGATAGCTTGGGGGAACTGGTTCTCTCCTTTCACCAGGCACGTGGAATCCAACTCTAGTGGTCAGGTTCTCGCCAGCCCAGGTATCTGTAAACTTGGACTGTTACGATTACTGCTGCGAAAAGGTGTAAAGAGAAATTTTGGTTCAAGTCTAGGCTGGATTCTTGCCTGGATTTCCAAAGAGTCCCCCAAGAGTCAGGTTTTGAAGGATATTAGTACTGCATTGGGCCACCAGTAGCAGACAGATTCATCAGTGTGCTCCAGTGGGGATCACTGTGCAAACTCAGGACTGATCTCTGGAAGGGCCTTGGTGAAGAAATTCTAGGTGTTGTCAACTGTGGGCTGCAGCAGCTCCAGCAAACTCGACCGTGGAGTGGAAAAGCAGAGTAATACCCTCCATGGACATGAGTTTGTTACCCATCTGCTTGCTCCACGATGTTGTTTGGTTCTATGGACAATGAGTCTTAACAACAGCTGACAGAGAAGTAGCCACCTGCTGTGTCTGCTGCCTTTGCTGCTGTAATGAAAATGGAAGAGTTGGAAGACCTGTAGATACTCACTGGCTAGAGTCCTAGGGGAAGGGGACAACAGGTCCCCTTGGAGAGACAGTCTTCTCTCCAAGGATCTGGCTCTTGCCCTGATGCTGTCTTTCAGTTATTAATGAAAGACACTATCATGTTGGGTTAAGGCCTGGTTCCCTATTGACAGGTGCTTGGTGGTATTTCAGGTCCTTGGCTATCACAGGCTACTCACAAAGGAGGAAGCAACTGGGATCCAAGTGCACCTCTATCATACAGATCTTTACCGCAGCCTTATTTCCAACAGAAAAATGGAAACACCTTGAATACACCTTGATGTGTTTAGCCAAATTATGATACGCTCACTTTTTTCTCTTAAAACATTCCTGTTATTTTAGAGTATGTGTGTGTGCATGCGTGTGTATGTGCACATGGGAGTACAGATGCCCTCAGAGTTCACAAACTAAGATCCCCTGGAGCTGGAGTTACAGGCATTTGTGAGCTGTGGGCCTCTGGTAGTCTGAATGAAGAATTTTCCTCCTAGACTCATGTAATTGAATATTTGGTTTCTGGTTGGTGTTGTCTGGGAGAGGCTGTAGAACCTTTACAACATGGAGTCTTCCTGGAGGAAATACATTACTGGGGGCAGGCTTCTGGGAGTTTACAGTCTTATCCCATTTCCAAGTCACACTTTCTGCTCTGTGTTTGTAGCAGAAGTGTGACCTCTCAGTGTCTTAGTTAGCTTTCTACTGTTGTGATAAAACACCTTGACTTAAAGCAATGTGGGGAGGAAAGGGTTTATTTCAGCTCAATTTCCACATCACAGTCCATCGTGGCCTAACAGTAAGGTTCCAACTGGCAGCTTATGTTTTTCTCCTCTGGTAGCTCCATGGCATCTCTGTGACTCTCCTCCTTTCTCCCAGCATTCAGTTTAGTTTCCTCTGCCTACTCTACCCTATCCCAGGCCAAGGCAGATTCTTTATTCATTACCCAATAAAAGCAGAACATAGACAGAAAGACTTCCCACACCAGTATCTCTTCACAGCAATAGAAACTCTGAGACAGGGACATAGACACAGTTGACATTTCTATGGCATCTTCTGGAAAGGTCATTTGTAAACACATTGCAGGGACTATGTTTCCTAGGAGGAACTTCTTCTTTAGATATCTGACCTAGGGAAAGATTCAAAATGTGTGTGTGTGTGTGTGTGTGTGTGTGTGTGTGTGTGTGATGCAGGAACAGGATGAGTAGTGGAGTCTTGAGGAAAAATGACCCCATAGATTTTGGCTTGAATTTTAGTGAGAATAAAGTTTATGACTGGAAAAGCCTCTTGTAGAGGGCAGTGACTGAACTAGAAGTCAGGCACGGAACTCTGTTTTTGAGCATTTGTGTGTGTTTAAATTCTTACAAAAGAGGGATTTCAAAAGTGAAAAACTGCATTGTTTGGGTCATCCTCGGGTCAGCACTGGCATGGTTAGCCACTGACCATACCTGCAGTCCTCAGCCATGGAGTGCTTTTGGTTACTTAGGTCCCAAACTTTGAACTTAACCTTGATTCTAGGCTTTCTCTCACACCCCAAATAGAACCTGTCAGCAAATCCTGTTGTCTTGATGTCTTAGTTAGGGTTACTGTTGCTGAAATGAAACACCACGGCTATGCCACTTGGGGAGAAAAGGGTTCACTTGGCTTAAGATTTCACATTACTATTCATTATTGAAAGAAGTCAGGGGAGGAGTTCAAACAGGGCAGGAACCCAGAGGCAGGAGCTAATGCAGAGGCCATGGAGGGGAGCTTTTTATTGGCTTGCTCCACATGGCTTGCCAGCTTGCTTGCTTATAGAACCCAGGACCACCAGCCCATGATGGCACTGTCCACAATTTTTGGGTTGGGCCCTCCCCCATTATGACTAATTAAGAAAATTCTCTGCATGATGTGGGATTCCACTCTGTAATAAAGGAACTGCTTTGGGCCTATAGCAGGGCTATAGGAGAACAGAGTTAGGCATGTGGGCGGGGGGGGGGGGGGGAACTAAGCTGAATGCTGGAAGAGAGAAGACGGAGTCAGGGAGAAACCCTGCTGGAGACACACATTGGGAACTTTACCTGGTAAGTCACAGCCACGTGGCAATACACAGATGAATGGAGACGGGTTAAATTAAGATGTAAGAGTTAGCCAATAAGAAGCTAGAGCTAATGGGCCAAGCAGTGTGTGATTATTTCGGGGCTAAGTGGCCAGGGACCAACAAGCAGCCTCCTTGCAACATCTGCAGGCTTGTCTACAGCCCGATCTTACGGAGGCAACTTCTCAATTGAGATTCCCTCCTCTTAGATAACTATAGCTTGTGTCTTGTTAACATAGAGTAGCCAGCCAGCATACTGGACCTTCAAAATATGAGTTCAAATCCAATACCTGCAGAGTTTTATACTGAAGACCTTAAGGCATCTTAGCAAATGGGAAAAAGAAATAAAAGGAATACGCTCTGAAAATCAAGAAAGGAAACTGTTGACAGAGATTTCTGTCCTGCCCGGTTCCACAGCCGTTCAGTCCCCAAAAAACATATAGAGGTCTACATTAGTCATAAATTGATTGGCCTATTAGCTCAGGCTTCTTATTAACTCTTTCTTACATCTTAAATTAGCACATAATTCTTGTCTGTTAGCTATGTGACTTGGTACCTTTAGCAGTGAGGCATTCTTCTCTTGCTTCATCCGTACCTGAGTGACAACTGCAGACGGAGCCTTTCCTCTTCCCGGAATTCTCCCATTTTGGTTGCCCCACTTATACTTCCTGCCTGGCTACTGACCAATCAACATTTTCTTAAAATGCAAGTGACTCAGTATAGACCATTGTCCCACAGCAAGCTCTCACTATTTGTTATGCTGCAGTGTCCACAGATAAGCTCATAGAGTTAGATGAGACTGCCAAAGACAAAAGTCAACGCTTAAATATTGCCTTTTCTATTTCTCAGCATTAAACAGAAAACAAATGTTTCAAAGGTACAGTTTATAGTGTCATAAAATATCATGTGTCTAGGAATAATTCTAATAAAAAGTTCATAAAACTTTACTAAAAACATAATAAAACATTACTGATATTAAAGGAAAGTATGTTCAACTGAAGTGAGAAGCTTATATTTGTATGGCAAAATGTGGTTAAGATGATAATTCTCTCCACGCTTGATTATGAGATGAATCTAATAAAATCAAACCCCAGTTTGCTGAAACTTAACAAACTGATCCCAATTTACACAGAAGTAGGAAAGTCAAAGAGGAGCCAAGAAACCCTTGCAGATGAAGTGAGTTTGGAAGACTTGCTTCCTGATTTGCCAAGACCAATACAGAATAGTTAATTGTATTAGTGTGGAACAGATGCACAGGGAAATGGGAAAGGAACAAAAACAGAGAGCTCAGGTTTAGGCCCCACACATGTGGTCACTTGATAGATGCCTTGAGGCTGTATGATTCATCCATGGAGAAAGAATGAACTCAGCAGACAGTGGAGCTGGAGTGGAGACAGAAACTGAGGCGGAGGTGGAGCTGAAGGCACAGAGAAATGGGTCCTTTCCCTTAGATCATTCATAAAAAATCATTTTCAGGAGAATTAAGGACCTAGTTTAAAAGGCGAAGTCAAAACTTCCAGAAGGCCAGACACTGGGCTCTTGCCTGTAACCCCAGCAGTCAGAAGGCTGGGGCAGAGGACGCAGTTAGAAGCCAGCCTGGGCTGCCTGTGGAGACGAGGACTGGTCTGGGAATATCAGGCAGCAATAACACTTGTCCAGCATTCTTAAGGCCCCAAGTTCAAGTCTGAGTCTTGGAAAATAATAATCCTGTAGAAGGTGATATACAGGAATATTTTTGAGGCCAAGAGGGTTCTTATTCCAGATTTAGAAATCAAGTTGATGAAAAATATGAATACATCCTGAACCATTAAAATTACAGTCTTCACTGTGTGAGAAGACATCATAGGACAAAATACAGGAAGAGCTAGATGAAGGGGAGAGTGTTTGCTACAAGCATAACCAAAACTAGAATCATATCTTATAAATTCATTTTTTAAAAAAGACAAACCAATAGGAAAATGGACAAAAGACTTAGCCAGCACTTCCCCAAGAGATATTCAAATTATTAATAAGTATATGAAAGGGGAACCTATCACATTAATAATCAGGGAATTGCCAATCAAAACCATAATTAAATACAACCATGC